AGAAACAAGAAACCCCTCTGCTGAATAGGGACCTGGCCCAGCCTCCTGCCAACTGGCTGTTCTAGGGGGCCAGCCCTTTGTCTCCTTCTCAGCTGGTCAGAGGCACTAAAAAGACTCTGCCCCTCTGCCAGGCCTCCTGGGACTTTGGGTTTGGCCATGGGGTGGGGGAGGGGAGGCTTGTGAAAAAGAGCCATGGACCTTGGGCCCTTCCTGAGGAATCCCAGGGGCTGGCTTCCTGGTCCTGATTTCATAGAAGGGTAAACTGAGGCCGCAGGTGGATTTGCATTGAGAGCGGGCATCACCTACGGTGTCCTCTCAGGGCCCTGTGTCTTTTTGAATCTGGGGGTGACTAGGTGCTAAGCAGCGACCGAGCACCTCTCCTCAGAGAACCCAAGGGCCCTGGCTAGTTGGGGGGCGGGCCACAGAGTCAGTGGTGGCCGTGTTGGAAGGCTAGGGAGGGGGCCAGCGAGGGAGCAGGCACAACCCACTCCGTTTTGTTTTTGTTTTCCTTTTTAAATATATATTTTTTATTGATTTCGGAGAGGAAGGAAGAGGGAGAGAGAGATAGAAACATCAATGATGAGAATCATTGATAGGCTGCCTCCTACATGGCCCCCACTGGGGACCGAGCCCGAAACCCAGACATGTGCCCTTCACCGGAATCGAATCCCGGACCCTTCAGTCCCCAGGCCGACGCTCTATCCACTGAGCCACACCAGCTAGGGCACAACCCGCTCCGTTTTACCCTAAAGGCTCTGTCTTGGCCCGGAACGTGTCCACGCGGTCATGCCCCCCACGCACCAGCCCTGCAGTGGACCTGGAGGAGGAGGAGGAAAGCTCAGTGGACGGCAAAGGGTAGGTGAGGGGAAGGTGGGCGAGAAGACACTGCGGGGTCCCAAGGTTGGGTCTGAGAGCAGAGATCCAGGGACCAGCGGCTTCCGAAGGGCTGACTGGAGACCCCTCCCTGTCTCTGCGGCTGCCGGATTCCTGGAGGAGGCCACCTGGGCCAGCCTCCAGGCTTCACATGTCTCTGCGGCTGCCGGATTCCTGGAGGAGGCCACCTAGCCTGGGCCAGCCTCCAGGCTTGACGGACTAGGTACCCCTGGGTGTGATTCCTGTGGTGGCCACCAGAGGGCGCACAGCCCCTCCTGGGCCCTGGCCGTCCTGAGGGCACCTGAGTTACTTGGTCACTTGGAGTGTTTGTTGGAGGTGTAGGTAGGCAGCCAGCGCCCACTCACAACACATCCTGGTGAGGACCCACTGTGTGTCCAACCCCTGTCCTCCCTGGCTTCCCTGCAGGGACCGGAAGAGCACAGGCCTGAAACTCTCCAAGAAGAAAGCCAGGAGGAGACACACCGATGTAAGGAGCCCCCCCGGCTGGCAGAGGGCCCTGGCAGGCTCAGCCTCACCCCCGAGCCTGGGCCTGTCTGCTCTGCGCCCCGGGACCAGGGGTGGGCCCCGTGTGTCCCTCCCTCGCCACCTGCCCTGTGGCCCAGCGCGGCCCACCTTAGCCAGGTGGGGCACGCTGCAGGAGATCCTCCCTCGGGCCTCGGGGACATTGGCGGCCTCCCTGGGACGCAGGCGGCTGGGGACTCCCTGCATTCACTCCCCTGCTGGGGTCCCCTTCTAGACCCTGGGGTAGGGAGGACAGGAAAAGGGGGCACAGAAGCTGAGACCCATGTCCTCTCAGGACCCAAGCAAGGAGTGCTTCACCCTGAAATTTGACCTGAATGTGGACATCGAGACGGAGATTGTGCCGGCCGTGAAGAAGAAGGCGCTGGGGTAGGGCCTGGAGGGCCTGCGTGCGGAATGGGCTGTGGGCGGGGTCAGGCTCCCGCACAGTGACTGTGTGTGTCTGTGAGCATGTCCCCCAGCTGTGGGCAGACCCTCCCCTGTGGTGTGACAGGCCTGTGCACCCATGTGAGCAGTCCCACCCTGTGTGCGTGGCCCAGTCCCTGGGTGTGGACGGGCCTGGGACAGTGTCTGCCCTTACGTGCAGGACACACCTCTGTGGTGTGTGTGGGTGTGCACATGCATCTGTGTGTCCGTGTGCGGCGGGGGGGTGTGACTGCCCCCTAACAGACACAGCTCCCGTCTGGGGCAGGGAGGTGCTGCTGCCCATATTTGAAAGGAAGGGCATCGCACTGGGCAAAGTGGACATCTACCTGGACCAGTCCAACACCCCCCTGTCCCTCACCTTCGAGGCCTACAGGTTCGGGGGACACTACCTGCGGGTCAAAGGTGAGCAGCTGGCTGGGTGGGGAGTGGGGGCGCCTGGCTGGGCCTCCTGGAGATGAGCGCTTCTCCCAGGCTCAGGTTCCCATTGGCAATGGCCCTGAGCAGGCTCATTACCATACAGGTGTCGGCTGGGCGGTGCAGGGCGGGGCCTCGGGGAGGGCAGCTCGGCCTTGGTTTGGATCCTCGGGGAGAGAGGACCCGAACCCCCTCTCCCACCAGACCTGGGTGTTGAGGACCTCTCCTTCCCCCCTAATGCTGCCCCAGCCAAGCCGGGGGACGAGGGGAAGGTGGAGCAGGGAGTGAAGGACTCCAAGTCCCTGAGTCTGCCCATCCTGCAGCCAGCTGGAGC